GGACATTATAAGAATAATACTGAAGGCATGATAATGTTTTGACATATTATAAGAATTATTATGAAGGCATGATAATGTTTGGACATTATAAGAATAATACTGAAGGCATGATAATGTTTGGACATAATAAGAATAATACTGAAGGAATGATAATGTTTTGACATATTTTAAGAATTATTATGAAGGCATGATAATGTTTGGACATTATAATAATAATACTGAAGGCATGATAATGTTTGGACATAATAAGAATAATACTGAAGGAATGATAATGTTTTGAATTATTATAAGAATAATTATGAAGGCATGATAATGTTTTGACATATTATAAGAATAATTATGAAGGCATGATAATGTTTGGACATTATAAGAATTATACTGCAAGAATGATAATGTTTGGACATAATAAGAATAATACTGCAAGAATGATAATGTTTGGACATTATAAGAATAATACTGAAGGCATGATAATGTTTGGACATGATAAGAATAATACTGAAGGAATGATAATGTTTAGAAATATTTTAAGTATACAGTGTAACTGGAAGCTGAAATTTGTAAGCTTTAACTGTTAATGTTTCAGATAGATAATTTAAACCTTAATTAGTCAATTGATTGGCTTTATCTATATATCATATTTTTTCTGAGTAGAGATAAATAATTAACAATGAAACAATGAAAAAAATAATTCCAGAAAAGTAAGGTAAACCTTGTTAGAATTTACTCTTTATAGATAACTGTTGTTGTATTTGTACTATCTAAAATATTTCAATTTAACAGTAGATTGAGTAATTGTTTTAATGTATAATCATGAACATCTGCCTGCTCTATGATTTCACATGCTTTACCCATATATTTGATTGTTCAAATACAAGATTTTTTAAATCCCATTCCAAAACAGCTGCCACATAGTTTGAAATTTCTATAATGCTATAATTACTTTCAAGTTGTTTAAATAACACTTTAAAATTGTAATTTCAGAGAGTAATTTGAATAGTGTAATGGAGATAAATGATGTATAGAACCTATATCTTTAAGGGATATTTTCATCAAATTAGTTGATGGTCAATCATTAAACAGAAAATACTTGCTGCTGCAGATATCTAAACCATGTTCTTCTAACTGGTTCACTTGTTAAGAGATTTGTCTATGTGATAATCTTAATCATTGCTTATGTATATTTTAAAAGTAAAAAGATTTTGATTTTCTTGTTTTTACTAATCCAGAAGACTACAAAGAAATTTCAATTCTTCCCATCCTGATCTTAAATTTGATCTTTTTGAAGACAAAATGAAACCAAGCGTTTGTCAAAACACAAAGGCAAATTGTAGATTGTTCATATTTTGTGAATTGGGAAATTGCTGCTCGTATTATTGAATCTTGCTCAAGCCAACTTCCACACCACTAAGAAAAAGACTAACTGGAATAGACCTAGTTTTTCTCTGATGTTGTTCTGGTGTCTTTTCACTCTTCTAAATGGAATCAAAGTCATATAATGAACAGATAGTGGCTAGAGTTTTGTAATGCCACTAAGCATATAGGTATGAGTTTCAGTCATATTTGAAATTGACAAAACCTTGTCAACCTGAAATACATTTGAAATATTGATATTTGAAAGCAGCTGATAAAAAATAAACAAATGTCTGAATATGAATGAATGCTATAATTAATCATTTAGAATTCACAAATGTCAAGTTTGTAAACTTCAGAAAAAAAAAAGTTTGTATATTATCCTCTGGAGGATTTGTCTATAAAGAAATATGTATATAAATATAAAGATTATTCAGAATACAGAAATATAATTGATTCTTGGTATTACTACCATGAAAAAATTCGGTCATAGGTTGAACTACCATAGGAACTAGTTGAACCAAGTACACAGGCCCCCAACCCCAGGCAAAAAAATACAAAATTGCAAAAAGAAAATGAGTGAAATAGCATAAACTACAGACTGAAAATCTTGAAATCTGCCATTAAAAGGCATTTAATTAAATTACAGAGTGATCTCGGAATCTTATATCTCAATCTTTTACAGGGTATGAGACAGAAAATATTTTATCCCTAAAAAGTGGATAGAAATGGCCATCCTTGTGGTAGGGTTGTGGATATCTTGCAAACTTAAATTTTGGCAAACAAGAATTTAGGTAAAAGTCATGACAAGTATATGATATTTCATTATAACATTCTGTTATAACTGCATTTAGACTAAGATATAAATATACCAAAATATAAATCATTGTACACCTGTCAGTTAAAAAGAATTTTTCCCAACTATTTTGTCAAAAACGCCAGTCAATTGTAAAATAAATGACTTTGTATTTAAATGACTTGAAGGCTTGATAAATAAAGTTTTGGGTTTTCAGTTGTAAAAATAATGACAATAAGGCACCACATGCTTTTGGATCATTTGGTACTTTTTTTTTTGTATACTTGGTATTGATACTGCCCTGTATCTTCCAAATGGGCCATACCCAGAGTAAATTAGATTCAGGCTTGATCCTTGCACAACTCAAAACTTACAGGCAGATTCCTAGGACTTTGACCACTGGAACACTCCTGATTCCAAAGCCTTATTTAAATCTGTGTGCTAAGATTTTACTTTTGTCAAAAAGGTTTATTTTGAACAAACAGAAACCTAGAGCTAAAGAAAATTTGTTTGTACCTTTGACCTTTAAAAAAAAATATAGAAAAAGGTTTAAGAAAACCTTTATCAATTGTGCTATTTCATGTCATTGTTTTATATAACACTATTATTATTTCTCTACAATGGTAATAGTCTGTATGCTATCCTATGTTTCAATCAATATCAGGATCTGACAATCTAATAATGAGTTTTTAAATTGTTCACAGCCTCCTACATTGTGTTAAAGAGACAGTATGTAAAAAAAATTTCATTATTAAAGATGGTTTCCCTATTTTTTATTGTCAAATTAAGCGAACTATTTAATTAATTGCTGTTTGTAATGAATTATCATGTATTCTTAATCATATCATTATGTTCTTATTGGATATAAATAAGAGTTTTAAGTATGTACAGTCTGAATACACAAAAAAAAGACTTTTTGACCATTCATGATCTGTCACGCATTAGAATTCTGCTGGTAATTCTCTTCCAATTTAGCTAATTTTGTATTAATTATGGTCTTGTGAGACAAAATGCTTTTTTTTCCAATTTGAACACCCCAAATTTCTATTCATATAAGTATTAGCATTTTCATTTTTATAAATGACAATAAGGGAACCCATCTTTAAGAATGATGTGAAATATACCTGAACATATTTATAAAATATGTTAATTGCTTCTATTTATCTATTTGATCAACCTGAACACATTAAAAAGGGGTGATTAAAATATGAGAGTACTAATTGTTAAGTCTAGTGTGTAAACTAGTTTTGCTGTTCAACTTTAACAACATGTGCAGAAAAGTAGGACGTAAAACCTTATTCATTTCATTTCCTTTTAGCTTTAACAGCAAGATATATTTTGCTGAAACTTTCAGAATAAGTAGGGGACATATTTCTGTACATATACATGTTCATTTTGCTTAAATCTGTACATAAGTTTCTTACATTAACCAAAAAATCATTGCAACTCCTAAAAGTTAATGTAACCTTTTTAAATAGTCTGAAACTTTCAGATAATCTAAAGAAATTTATTTTTAGATTTTGGTCCAGATTTTTGAGCACGTTACCCTCTGATTCAAAAGTGTCTATTCAAGGATGAAAGATATATATAAATGAAAGCAATTGTCATTATATTCCCACTAATATAAAGATGTCATAAACATAGGATATCATTGATTTAAAAATGCTTAAGGTGTGGCAAAGAATTAAGCCCAAAGGTAGTTTCTTTTTGTATTGATACTGAACTGCATTCAATGAATTGTTTCTTCAGTGACTGAGTTCTGAAGATAGATTCTATACTTTATTTTTGATTGTTTTATTAATTGATAGACTGTCTTTATTTTTATTGAACCGATGTAAGAGTTAATGCAATCATTAATAATCAAACCCTGTTAGATGTCTTTTGATTAGGTCTAGTAGTCATTTATTGAATTTCTTATATTTTCAAAGTGAGTTTTATTGTCATACATGAATGATGTCATTAGAAATATGTTTCAATACTTCAATCAAGATTGTAGTCAGGATCTATTGAATGCAAAAAATAAATGGGACTCCATTACAGTTAATTTTATGAAGGCTTGAATCCCACTGTAACAATTTTTGTGTTTTATGTTCTTCTCTACTCTCATAAAGGTTTTTTCCGTTTATTCATAATTTGGTCAAGTTGTTGTGAATTTACAGGATAATATATAAGTGCCACAAATTCAAAGGCTATATTCCTAACACCTATAAGCACAACATATTCCCAAGAAATATAACATGACATAATGGAGGTAAATGAAGTAAATGCCTTACTTTTGAAATTATTTTAATCTAGAATTTTCTCTTGAGTATTTTAAATCCATCCAGAGCCCGTTTTTTCTTATTATAATTTAGATAGTGCTACAATCTTGGATTGGAGTTCCATCCCTTTTTTATTTTTAACTGTATTGGGCTCAGTATTCATGGGAGAGTTTTGTCAACTAGGATGATAATTTTTCAAACCAAATGACACTTTCAGTTCAATCAACTTGAATGGTGAGCAGGTGGAATATTGTTCAATAATTAGTATTGAAGACCCTTAAGTAGGATGTGAGGCCGATTTGAATCTTATCACTGACATCATGAATTTTATATGGTTAAATAAATTGAGGTTTCCTTGATCAAAAAATATTTGTAACTAGAAATTTGAAAAAGAAGCCATACTAGTTATAGAAATATAAGATTAGCCTTTCCATTCTCCTTGAAGGCATTCATTCAAAAATAAAAATTTCTGAATTTTTTGTTTTTTAAAAAAAAATGTTTGTGTGTTTCAGGAATCCACTAGTTCAGTAAAGAAAAAAGAACAGAAGAGACGCCCCAAACCCCGGGATGGCAGCATATTAAAATGTGGTGTTTGTGGTGACAAGGCCTTAGGCTATAATTTTGATGCCATAACCTGTGAATCTTGTAAAGCTTTCTTCAGAAGAAATGCATCTAAAAATAAGGTTAGCAATCAGACATTTTGTTATTGATGATATTTCTTATTTTTTAGATATTATAAGTCATATGGGAATCAGATTATAAAGAATATTTTATTCCCAAAACAATCACAGGCTCAGAGCAATTTACCTAACACACATTTTCTTTTACGTGATTGTAGTTCTACATGTATGATATCTTCGCACATTCATTGGTATATCTATATTTACTGAAAAGTTTTATATGAATTTTAAGTATCATTTTCGAAACAGTACCGATAGTCTTATCATGAAATTGTGAATAAAACTTTACATTTTGTCAACACAAAGTCATTCAAAGACTATCGATACTGTTTGAAACCGATATACCAAGTAACTTAATAAATCAATATCAATAAAAGTGATTTACCAAGCGAAAGCCAGACGTCAACTTAAACCAGACGGGTTTCTTGATTAAGTTTCATTCATTGATATTTAAATACCAGTAATTTACACTGGCATATTCAAGTTATTGTTCTTAATTTCAATATTCCCTTTTCTTTTTGGATGAAATTTCTAAAAAGACAGTGTGTTTATATTACATAAGTTGTAAACATACAAAAATTTATATTTTTGTCAACAAGGGTCATTCAAAGACTATCAACTGTTCTGAATCCGATATACCAAAAATACCATTTAATTGATTAACTGATTAAAGATAGCAAGGCAGAAGTCAACTTGAACCAGACGGATAACTTCATTGAGTTTCATTCATTGTGTTGTAAATACCAGTTATAACATTCAATAACATTTAAAGCAAAACATCTTCAGTATATCATTCATATAGCCACAAGAAATCAACCTTTCTTCTGTCTGTTTTCAAATGACAGTACCAGGTTGTTATTGTCTATTGAGTTTCTATTTAATTCTGTATGATAATTGACAAGGTCTCCTAACCATAAACATTTCCCTAATGCTACTTATAATTGCTGACCGAATTACACTTTCCTCTATATGTCCTGCGAAATTTTTTTTCCAACATCAAATTGTTGATTAAGACGCAAATAATTTAGGGTAAAGCAAGTCAATCAAATTTTTTCCCTCTTCAACTCATGGATTTTGATGCAAACAACAGGTGTGTTTCGAAAAGCATTAGATACTGAATGCAGCTTTTGTTCAAGGCACAAAATCATAACGTTGGAGAGGGAATAAATTTGATTGGCTGGTAGTGCCATCAAAATGATGAATATTTTAGACGCTAATTAAAGTGTCTTAATTAAAAATAAAGAACGGAACAAATTTTAATTAAATTGCTCAAAACCTTTTTGTGACTTTTAAACTATAATTTGTACTGAAAAATGTGTTTGATATGTATTTCTGTTTTTGATTCATTCTCAGTATCTAGACACTTAAAGAAATGAATATTCTCTGAAGGCTATTTATAGACTTGCTGGAACTCAACTTCAGATATTAATACCTTGGAGGCAAATTTGATCTGCTTTCCTCGTAATCTGTTCAATCATACTGATATTTTTATAAAGTATTGAGTCAATGAACTTATTATTAAGATAGATATGAGATATAAAATCTAATGAAATACTTCCTGGTGGAGTAATACTTTGATTCTGAAATTGTTAACGTCTTTCTTAATTCCCTGTTTGATTTAGTTTCGGAATCAATTCGAGAAGTTCAATTTGTTATTTATAGAATCTTTGGTTCCTACAAATACAACTTCCTGGTAGAAACGAAGCAATTTGTACTACTAATATAAGAGTATGTCATGGGTATCTGAGTATGTAAGAACATGAACGGGCCAATTAATTTTCAGGGAGTTTAAAGTAAAATTGTCAAAATGAATAAAGCTTTGAGGGGAACACATCATTGAACACAAGAACTCAAACAGTGAAAATTTCAATGAATGATTTGTTTTTAAAATATTTTTAGGGCAACTACGCATATTGAAGGAAGATAAGGTACTCTGAGTTGCTATATTGTTGTATTAGGCAACAATTTTTAAAGACCTATCCCATTCTACTGTAACCTTGTAATATCATGAGATGAACATGAGTATGTAAATTATTAGCAATGTTTATTTTGTATTTTAGGGGTATAACTGTAGTTTTGAGGGAAATTGTAAACTTGATCCACATACCAGAAAGTTTTGTTCAGGATGTCGATTAAAGAAATGTTTCTCTATTGGAATGAAGAAAGAATGGATATTAGGTTTGTACTATGCTATAGATGTTGGATTCTTAAATGATTTCATAGCATTAACCATTTGTTTTGTGTATTCACGAAGATCTGGGTTTTGGATGGAACGTCATACTTTTCTTCACATATTTGGGCTATCATTGCACACTGCATGGCATTTTCGTTCCTCGTTAGCTCTATCAGGTTCATAAAAGTAGGATGTAAATCAAATCATTTTATTTCATTTGTTGTTGGGCTTTTACGTGTCATACCGGCAGTGTGCAATGAGATACATATCTTATTCTCAGTATCCTATTATGTAATGTTTTTACCGACTGATAAACCAAACTATCTTAAGTGGCCCTCACACCATAGCTATCACCAGTTGATAACGGTTTGGAATGAGAATAGCGGTTATAAGTTTTTAATGCAACTTCTATGCGTTAGGTTCAGGACTCATGTCCACATTCATTATTGGCAACCATACGCAACTGATAATCGTTATGGTGTAAGTGTACCTTAAGAAATTGTGCTGTATCAAACAAATAAACACCTGACTTAACATAGCTAATATGACAAGTAAATTACACTGATCTTATTTAATTGTGGAATAAAGGAATAATAATGGAAGTAAATTCTATTCTGGAAACATGAAAGGTGATTTTAGTAGATTATAGTATGATTGACAACAGGAAACTAAAATAGTCTCATCTTCACTATCAATAGCTCTTAATGGGATTTTATTATTACCCTATTGTTTTCATTGCTTTATATCCTTCACTTCAAACCTTAGCTTATATAAGTCTGTGACAGTTTCTTGCTATTGCGAAATAACATATATCGTGACACAATATATATAGTGTCTTTATCTGACACATTGTCACAACCAATCTGTAAAAAGAGTTTAAAGTGAGAAGGGTATTCTATATTGGTCTCACTGTTCAAATCCTGGTTTAGAGAAAAAAGGGTCAGCTTACATGAGAATAAGTAACATTGTTTTGTGAGGGTAGGATAGAGACAATAAAAAACAAAAACATTAGTCCTTGAAAAAAGCTATGCTTTACAAGAAATGTAATGACATCAAATTAAGTTATAAATATCTTCCAATTTATTTTGATGTTATGAAAGTAACTTGAGCTTTTTCTCCATGGAAAATTATAGCTGTTTCATTTTGTTTTTAAAATTGATATTCTGTTTTTATTTTACATTCTAAAGTGTATGACATTTGAATGATCTTACAGGTTTCTCACATATTTTGTTACCCTAAGAAAATTTTCAGAAACCAGACATCAATCATTTTTTTGTCATTTCTGCCTGAATATGTTCTGTGATCCACAAATATACCTAGAACAAAAAGTTAAGCGCCACCACATATTGAACCATTGTATCGCAAATGAATGCAATTCACAATCATACTTGATAACAGAGATGTATATATTGGGGCCTAATGTTGAAAACAATATGTATTCGTGAAAAAATCAACAACAGGAAATGGATGATCGTACATTACATTGTCTTTAAAGCCCGAAATGCAAAGTATCTGTTTTTCATCAGTCTTTGAATGTCCTGTGGAGGAATTTGCTGCCACTCCTGATGCAATGCTGCATCCAATTCTGTTACAGTTTGCACAGGAGGGTCTCTATGACGTCCCAGAACATACTGAATAGTGGCGCCTAAATTTTTGTTCTAGGTATATTTCTGATATTGTTTATGAAATTTTATTTTCAGATGAAAGGCAGTTAGCTAAAAGAAGGCAGAAAGTAAGAGATCCAAAAGAATTAAGCACAAAATCCAAACCAGATTCTCCAGGATTTTGTGAAGTTACAACGAATTATTGTTCTGATGAGTTATCCAGTCCTTCGCCCGGTGCATCCTCCAGTTTTATAAAGATTGATATTGATGATGAAGATTATCCAGTACCTTTACCGCCTGAAATATACACTCATCTTCAAAACATTGAAAAAACTTACACAACCATATTTGACGCACCATATGATATCCAGACTAAAACTAAGTTCGAAGTTACTCCTGAAAAACCACATGACCTTTTTAACCTCACAGACGCATTCATTCGCCGCCTCATTAAATTTGGAAAAGTTTTACCAGAATTTAAAGAACTATCTCAAGAAGATCAAATTCATATATTAAAGGTTTGTAACTCTTGTTATTTGTTTATTTTGCGTCTTTTATGTTATTGTGGACATTTTGGCAGGTGTCTGAACTTTAACTCTGAACGTGATACGAATAGCTGAATCAGATTGTTGGTAAATAAGAAAGATTTAGGCAACTATATATATCTTGATCATTCAAACAACTTTCAATAAATGTATATGTCATTAATTCATTAATTCATTCCATTACATCGTTTCTGTCATTCTATTCTAATATTAGAAATTATTGGCCAGAGTGGACCAATAGATAATTTTATGTATTTCACAGATACAGTGCACTTTAGAAAATTAAAGATTGAGTATAGAGACGAATTTCTTCATAAGGGAATTCATTATTGACAACTAACAGACTAATCCTAAAGTCTGTGTCATTTCTGTTTGTAACACATTGTTTCAAAGATTTACATTTAATTCTGTATTGGATTTCTAGTATACAATTGGAATCATAATGCTTCCATTAAGGGAATTGAAGTGAGACATTATAGAGTCTTCCTGATCCATGTTTTAAATTACCAGATAGCCTGATGGATGAGTTAAATAGCTGGGCAGAGAAAAAATTCTCAAAGAAACTAATTTTTGATAACAGGCCTTGTAGACTTTCCAAAAAAAAAGTCCTAAGGAATCACACTTGAAAAAAATTATAAAGGCATAATATTCAAGATAGCGGCCCAGTATGACACTTTTTCTAATAGCATATATTACTTTCAATCTCTTTAACATATAATTATCATAAATTTCAGGGTGGAATCATGGAAATATTTATTTTAAGATCTGCTATGTCATTTGATAAAAATTCGGAGAAATGGAAATATTCAGACACAGAAGGAAAGAAACAAATGGATCCTCGAGTGATAGCCACTGCGTTAAGTCCAGACATGTATTCATCACACATGATATTTGTGACATCATTATTGGAACTAATTAAGAGTGATCGTTATATATTATTGTTATTATTTGTTATCGAGTTGTTCTCCCCTGATAGACAGTTAGTGAAAAATAAGGAATCTGTGACACGAAGTCAAGAAAAATACTCTAATTATCTGAAAGTTTATTTAGAATCAATTTATCCTGTTCGGAAAGCTCAAACACTTTATCCTAAAATACTCATGAAGCTTATTGAAGTAAGAAGTTTAGGTGAAGAGAGCGCAAAACTAGCAGCTAATTTAGATGTAACTAAGGTAGAACCGTTGGGTCAAGAAATGTTCAATTTGAAATAATTTGATTTATTGAAAGTAGAAATACAGGAATAAGGGTATTTAGGGAGTTCATAAATTTACTGTGTTCTCTATGTTTATTGAAATCAACAAAAATACTTGACCATTATAGTTATTCATTCAAATATGTCAACTGATGCTGCAACTTTTTTATGAAAGTGCTTAAACGTGAAGATGTGGTAAATTCTTATTTATAACTTCTACATACTGACAAACATGGTTGTTTTATTACTTGTATACTATACTGGGTATAGATATATGAAAATGGTAATAAAAAATGTTATTTATCATATATCATTATAAAATATCAGCCATAACAAAAATGAAGTTATTGTGACAAAATATTGGCTTTTTAAACCTTTGTGACTTTACAGACTCCACAATGTGATCGCCATTGAACATAAAATTGCACCATTTGCTCAAAAAAGTTTGTGAGAAATCATTATGTGATATGATAATATTTTTATAAGTAAAACGATTTCTTTACTCAAACTACCATATCTATTAAAAATATTAAGTATATATACGAGTATCTCAACGAAGAATCATTAGACACCATTGATCTGTTACGGTCAAAATGTGTTTAAAAGTGTAACTGCCTTAGTTATTTAACTCCTAAAATGCCTAACCTTGGACTGTAACGTTGGTGTAAATCATGTTATATATAAAGGTGCCTCACACCATAGCAATTATCAGTTGCAACTAATGAAGGTTGCCACACTCATAACTTAGTTGCATAAGTGTTGTGTTCGAAACTTATGACTGCTGTTCTCATTCGCAAATATATGCTGATGGTGATCGCTATGGTGTGAGGACCACTTTTTAATGTGTGTTCTCTATCTTCAATACATGATCATCATTCAGTGCTATAAATTTTATGTGCCATAATGTTCGAGAAAAATTTTGGTCTCCTGGTAGACAGTTAATTTAACGTATTTATTTCCAATCCTTAAAAGGGCAATAGGGCAAAGTAGAAATCTTTATTCATTAGAATATACTCTTACTGAGACAAGGGGTTCATTTAAAATTTTTATATAGTTATAATGGATCCTTTTTAAGGTTCTTGGTATTTTAATGTAATTGTTCACAAACTGGTATTTTTGTTGTGTTTTAAGATTAACAAAAGTGTATCATATTAGTGCTAATAATTTGTTAAATTGTCTTATATTTTTTCTGTTAGATTGTCTAATTCTTTTGTTATAACTTAGTTTAACTGTTAAATAACTCAATGGGACTTTAATTAGGGTTATACAATAGGTAAACTGTTAAATAACTCAATGGGACTTTAATTAGGGTTATACAATAGGTAAACTGTTAAATAACTCAATTGAACTCTAATTCTTGTTATAGTGTAAAACTCAGTTTTGTATTTTTATGATATAGTGTAGAAGTAAATAGACTTTTAAAAAACCAAAACCCACAAAATCTATAAACCCAGATTCGTTTGGACACTTGTTAGCTTTTATAATTCATATAAGTAAAATAGCATATCTCCCCCCCACACCCCCCCATCCCCCCCAAAGCAAGTTCTATATACCCAGGTGTATTCAGCAGTATTTACATCAAACACTTCAAACAAGAATTAGCATTTAGTCCTTCAACACTTGTTCATTTCCAAATAATAGATTAATTTGACACTTTTTTTTTATCTCTAAATTTGAGTCAAATTCTAGATACAACTAGACAGAATAGCCATATTAGAATTGATGTTCTCTAATGAAGCAAACCACATTTTTTTATATATTTGTTTTAAAGCTTTCCCATATATATCTAATTTATTTTTTATCTCTTCATATTTTTTGTTAAAAATTTTAAATTTTATTTTGTTAATTTGTGGAAGTGAAGTGCTATATTAGATTTTGGTTTTTGACAAAATAAATTAAAGGGAATGTCTGTTCAAGAATTGTTCAGAAATCATGTTTAGTACACATTCTTGATTTTTTAATCAATGTTTATAGAAGGAATAATTGTTTTATGTTTTTAGCTTATCAATTTTTAAAAAAAATGATTTTATTTAAAAAAAAAAATTCCTTTTATTATAAAGATATTTTTTTTCTATCAATTAGTTGATATCTAGTTGTATTATTTACAATGTTAATTTTATCTGTCACAGATAGTTATGCCTTTCTGGAATAAAAAAGCAAATAAGAGTGAAGTTTGAACGAATTCTAAATTTCCTGAGCAGGATTACAATATTATTTCATCAGAGTCAATTTTTTGATGGTCAGTATGTCTGGATGTCCAGTATGAATAGGTACTTTTGATCATTATGGACTAGAGAATAACTGTACTTATTCTAGAATTTAATATTTTCTTAGAATATGTCATGAAGGTTAGATAATGGTATAGATTGATTAAGGATGTTTTCTTTGATTCTTGCCATTCATTTTCATTCACAGAATAACCTAATAGAATTTCTCTTCATATATAGTTTAGATATATTTTCAGAAGAAAACATTATATAGGCTTATTGCTAACATATTTTAATGTATGTTTTTAATTCTGTTCTGTACTGTTGTGAGCTTGTTATAGCCTACTCAAAGTAAAACCTCTACAATTTTTGTAAATTTTTGATCTCAAGTTTTTGCTCAGGGCTGTTGTTATATGTCAGTAGGTACCTTCGAGATCTAGAATCATCGAAGAGAGATACAAACACTGAGTTTTATCATTGATGAGGTTGATATAGTCTGTGTTAATGCTAAATAACAGCCCTAGCAGTATTTATCTGCTGATATTGAAAGCTCTACCTCCTTATATTGTTACAGACAATTGATTGAGAATGGAATCATGACTGAAAGCATTATTGACAACTTAATTATTGTCTGAAACAGAAAAAACTCATTTAAGCTAATGCTAATTTTTTTATTGAAAACTTTTCCACAGGATTCAAATCACATATGTAGACAAGTCTATTACATGGTTCAATTATTATTTATTAACTTTAATTAAACCAAGGAGATTAATGAGTGAGCTTTGATTTTCATTAATTATGAAATAATTTGACAGATGTTATCTTTAAGACATTGTCATTAAAACCATGAGCTGCATCATGTGTTCATATTTTTCAAAAGAAATCTTAAAAAAAGTAAATGGGTGTTTGAAAATCATGTGACATCCAGAATATTTATTATCTCAGTCCATATTATGAGGTTAACCTTGTATAAGGACAGAAATATATAGTAGTTTCAGAGCCAATGCTTGTATCAATAAATTAAACAGTTTGACAAATGCTTCTAATGTTTCTGTGGTCTAAGTTGATGCTATCAAGTCAAATTTTGACTGTATATGAGATGATTGTATTGCCATAGAATCTGTTTTTGTGTTGTTTTAATGCTATTATTACTAAAAATGTGAATGTTAATATCAATGCAGGGGTTTTTCGATATTTTAATCATGTAGTTAAGCTTTGTTCATATTTGTCCTCAGTTGCTCTCAGACATTTAATCTGGTAAATTTTCGTTAATTTTCAAAATTTGTAAATAATATTCTATTTCTATTCACCAAATTCTTCCAGAATTCTTTCAGATTGTCTTTTCAATTTTCATGCAGTTTTAGGACTTGAGAAGACTATTTACACGTATTCAAGACCGAAATCAACTCCTGAATTTTTTTTTTTTTCAGTGAAAATGTCCTTTTAAAGTCCATGTTCCAAAATAGAGAATGTTATAGTTTGTTAATGTATTATTGTTATCAAATTGTTGGTTATAGCTATTTTGATTTTTAAATTTCCTTTGAGGCAGCAGTGAAGTATTACAACAAATTATTTCATGTATATTATGAATTTGAAAAGTTAATATCTAACAATGGCACACACTAAACCCGAAGGTACTTATTATATAACATGTCGTACTAACATTATATTTTACTATTATTATAGTACTTTTTTCTTAACACAATATATTTGAATGCACAAACCTTTTCCTAGCTGTTTGACAAGATTTTGCACAATGATTTAGGCATTAACAAATGAATGTCCAAGAGACAGAACAATTGAATAGGTTTTCCTTTAAATTTCTAACATTCTTAGCATTTATTCCTTTGTTTTAAAATTTCCCTCGAATACTGCTGCTATTGATAAGAATTCTGCATTGTTGTTTTTATTGGTAAATGGATTATTATTGGGTATTTTATACTTGCTTTAATTGTTGTCCTGGTTTTAACTTCAGTCAAACCATTTTTTTTATTTTAATTTCTGAAGGAATATTGTATATTATCAGACAAGGTATCCTTTTAAACAATTCCAAAAGAAGAATAATTGATTAGGACTTTTCAAACTGATAAACTGACATCAGGTTTGTCTATGTTTCAATCAAATGGAATGAATTCATCTCTTCAAAAAATGTTATTTTTCATCTGAACTTGTCTGATTTTGACCTATCTGTCATGCTTGAAAGAGCTATGTGATAAAATGTGCCTATCATTAATTTTGGGCCTTGGACTTGAAATATAAGATATACATGTATGATACTGATAATATATTATTATTTATGAATTATTTGTATTAGTTAAGATAGCTTTATAACAGAGATCCTGTGAATAACTTCTAAGGATTAAGATCAACAAAATAATCTGAAAATTTGTTTAAGAATTGTAGGCCATTGTTGGTAGTCTTTTAAATTGAGTCAAATCAAATGCTTAAAGCACACGTTTTAATCAGTTTTATGAACTGTTAAAAGTTTCCTGTAGCACAATGTAGACCACTTGGTACTTACCATATTTTGCAAATATTATTTTTACTTATCAAAGAACACCTTTGTTTTTGTTGTAGGTGGCCTATTATTGTAGTAGGACAGGCCTATACTATTTTATTAAGATTTATTGTGTTTACCATTGATTAAAAAAAAACAATAACATAAATTGATTATATAAGATCCGAAGAAAATTAAAAGTTTTTGTTAAAAATTTGTTTTTATTTCATAGCAGCATATTTGGAGACAGAATTGTTTAAAAAATTGAATTGTGCTTGAGGATCATTTATTTACCTCATCACTTGTCTTTGGTATTAACCAAATGACTAGGCCTATGTTGAACAATTAAAATGGGCATAACTTTGCACAGTTGGCTGAGGAATTATTATGTTTTAAAGTGTTACCAGAAGCCAGACTTAGTATTTGTCTTAAACCCCATACAATGTATGAATAAATAATACATGTATAATCATTTGAAATTGTTTAAGTCGTAGAGTTTCTAACTAATAAACAAAATTGTGGTCTGGTTCTATTGAAGGGGAGCAACTCTATTCTTGAAAAGATTTAGTTTTATTTTATTTCGAAGATGACGTCCACTTTGAATGATTTGTTCGACCAGATTATTCACTCGGAAAGGCTTGCACAAGAAAGAAAAAGTCATCTGTTTGAAGGTGAGTTAAAATGGTAGATCTAAGCTAAGCGGACATTATCCACTACATGCCAAGTCAAGTCGTCAGTAGGCTATCACAAAGTTACTCAACTGTTATAATATCAAGAGTTGGGCCTAAATTTATATGAAAATAGGTATTAGTGACAACAATTTTGCCTAGTTCAAGGAGAGAGGCGCCGAAAAGCCTAATCTCATAATTTTGGATTATGGCCACAGGCCTACATGCAGTCATGCCCATAGCTATTCTAATATTTACCTACATTCCCCCATCATGCCTGTGAATATATGATCAAGTAGCTTAACCACCCTTACTTTTAAAAAATTGAATTCTATAGTGAAGGCAAAGATTCAATCTTGTCAAGAGAAATTGTTAACAACTAAAGAAGAATGGGAAAGTCAGAGAGGAAGACAGGTGTTAAAGGTAAAGCGACTTAACTGGATGATAATATATTTTTGATTTGAGTCCTAATCATTTCCACCTTCTCATTAATAATGCCAGTAACATTATACCAGCATGGAGATCTTAGATTTGATGATGGTCAAAGTAGTAAGACTGCCATGCTGACATGTGACTTTCATGGTTGGAAAATCAGTGACAATCAAAATCCACTTGAAAATTACTAGGAATCAGTTGAGGGATTGAGCAACTGATGTGGCAAAATATCTTCATTTCTCATTATATTTAATTTGTTTTTAACCATTAAAGCCCCCAATTTAAAAGCAAAAGATAAGTCTTTCAAATTCTCTAGATTAAACAGTTGAATGAAGAAGAATTAAAGTTAAAATGGTTAACAAACAGAGAATTGATTCTGTTAGAACAGAAAAACTCTACAATTGAAGAAAGGAAAGAAATAGACAAACAGATGGTATATTGTTCTTTCTTACTAAAATACTTTTGATGCTCTTCTTTAAGTTTAAATGAATTCTAACACTAAGTCTTGTTGAACTAAGAAACATGAACAATGTGAACTGTATGGACACATCATTATTAATGTTTCTTTAACAGAAAATGACAATGAATATGTTTTTTACAGGAAGATGTTCTTAAGACATATGATGAAAATTTACAGTGTTTTATGAATGATATCAGCCAAACTATGGTACAATATGACTTAACTGGTCATGGAATAGAAAACAGAGAATTAGAACTTCAAGATGAACTTAATCAGCTTGATAAACAACAACAAAAACTTTCTGTTGGTTGGTTCCTTTATTTTTAGATATCTGTAAAACCAGACAAGATTTGATACTAGGAAGCATTCAAGGAAATGACAAACTAAATCTGCACCTGGATTTTTATCATCTGAAAGGCAAAAGAAATAATCTTTATTTTGATATGCACACTTGAATCAAGAAAACAGCCTTAGCTATATACGTTACTTTAAACTTGGATTTTTTCAGATGTTGATGAATATGACAGTCATGTAAAAGAAATAGAAAATCTGTGTGAAAAGAAATCAAACTTGGGAGAAATACTTGAAGAGTTGAATACTAAAAAGAATGGTGAGCTTAAGACCATGCGTTTTTAGTCTAGATTTTACAGTTTCAGAACTGATCAAATTCATTTAGCAACAGTGTACGATATTTATCACATCTAACGTTTGGCAAAATGTTATGTATTTTTCAGAAAAATCCCAAGAGCTTTCAGATACTTTAAATAGCTTATCAAATTTAGAAAAAGAGAAAATAAGAGTCAGTCAGATTCCACAAAATGACCCAGAATTTTGTAGGTAAGTATTTCATATTAGTTTATTTACAATGCAAAGTGTACTCAGCTCAACCAGATCTAATTTTTTTTAATCACAAAGTTAAACTGAACACCCCCTCACCCCCTCCTCCTTTTAGGGTGTTTAGATTAAAAGCATTATTGGCTAAATTGTTTGTTCAATTTGTCCTAGTAATATTTGAATATATATGTAGATGTGACATACAATACATCTACATATAAGGTACAGTAACTGAAATGTCAACAGTGTATCATTGTACCTGATATCTATATCGTACATAAATACATCTACCTGTTTAATTCTAAATATAATGTCTTACATTCAGATGTTATAACAGGATGTATGTTTGTTCACTAATTTTCTCAATAATAACAGCATTTAGTAGGAAATTTATATCATCCCCTTCATAGAAATATTAAAACCAAACCTGAAACATGTTGTTATCAGAGTTTCACACAGTCTGATCACAGTGAGTTACATGTTTCAGGTTTTGTTTTGATATTTTTTTATCACTCTTAAATTGATATATTTAGCACTGTTTTAAAGGGACAGATGCGCCCCATTCTTTTTGACCAATCATACTTTAATCTCAGAAACTGGAATATTTTTAGTTAATCCAATCAGTAATAGTATTAACAGCTCAACATAGAAATTTGAGCCTTCAAATCCACGTGTGTCAAGAATTATCTGCATTTGAATGTTAAAATGACGACTCGTCTTTTTAAGATACTCTGTGATATATATAAAAATAGTGAGTAAACTCCTAGTTTGAGGTATTTTTGAAGAAATTATGAGATTTTGTACATTTCTAGTACTTCTGAAGACTATTTACATATATTCAAGACTCAAATAAACCCCCTAAAATGGTGCATCTGTCCCTTTAAAAGTGAAAAAAATGTTATTACAACATCCCATGAAACTGTTTTTCATGTACCAGTACTCTAAATCTGATGATATGTGTGATCTGAAGGCTAATATCTATCTAGTATCCATCCTTATAGTTATTTTTGGAATGCCCAGAGAGATATTCCATGCAAAATTTATCTGCAAATTGCCTTTACCACATGAGAATCCTAAAGAACTTATCCCTGATTACTCTGAAAATAAGACAGGTCAAGTCATTTTGGTATAATGGACATAATTTTGACCAATGAATAAATGAAGAGTTTATGATTATATTATTTTTGTCCTCATTACAACAATATGATATTATAATTTCTCTAGGTTACGGTCTGAAGTTAACTATCACATGAACAATGAATTGGAGGAACAATATCAAAAATTACAACAGGAAGTGAGCGAACTACAGCATGCCTTGCGTCATAAACAGATTCACAAACAGAAAAAACTAAAACCCGAAAGAAAACAATCTTCTTTTTATGACAAATTTGAGAAAAACTCTACAGACACAGATACTAGATGTAGCCAAATCTCTAGCTCCAGTCAGAGTAAAAGACTATCATTCCTATTACAAGATGTTCCTCAAGAAACCCAAAATAATATTGAGGTTAGCAAGATATTTTTTTAGGTCTTTCCTCTTTGATATTTATTTTTACAACAAGGATGTCATGATGTAATTCACGATGTAAAAGGCTATGTTTTATGATGCTGTGACAAAAATGATGAATAAAAAATATATGAATTTATTACAGTCAGCCAACTGTGAAACTAGTAATAGATTATGTATAACAAGTTTTCCTAATTCCACAACCAATACCATATCTCAGGTACATTTACACCCTTTTAGTCTTCTGTTCAATAAGCATATTGTGTCAAAGATCGACAAGAATGACACAAAGAATTTTTCTTTTAGATGGTCGTCCTTGGCCAAACCTCTTAGCATTGATCTGAAATAGCTGGGTGTATTGAAGGACCAGACTCTCTCACACTAATAAAGATAGGAGCAAGATTGATGTTTCTCGACTTAAACTGCTGCACAATTCTGTTAAAACAAATATTCAGATTCTCTGAATTATTAGTACTGTATCATGATTTTCAAAAAATGATTTCAGTTTGTTTCTGTATTTTTAGAATGAAAAACTTGGTGAAATATTGAATCATGATTTTGATAAAGATCCTTCTAACCTTAACACAAATCAACAGAGGTCATCAAGATCATCCAAATCAATTTTCAATCCCAGTTAGTAACATATTGTTTATTGGAAATATCTGCAATGGTTTCAAACATATAGGTTCTGTGAAAATATAAAAACGAAAGATCTATACTTCTAAGGGCAATCATTATATCGTTCTGTATATGCAGGTGGAGACTAAGATAATTGATGTTTAAAATTCACATTTATCACCTTGCTTTATCCATTGCACTAAATAATATTCCTTTTATTTTCTAATTTTAGAAAGAAAGAAGATGACATAGTGGATAAACCTCATGAATCTTCATAATTGTAAACATTAGCATTAATTTATTTTGTGTAAATTTGCATATATACTGAATAATAGTAATTATTATTGACACATTTATATGGCGCATAATTATATGTACATAATTATAACAGTCCTACTTTCTACTTTGCTTAAGACATACTTTTCTTTTCTATTCTTTATATGGATTGGCATTGCTGTAATAAGGCTTGCTTGTAACAAAAGGTGACATGCAGTGACAAACTGATCTATAAATATAGAGCTCTTCCCTTTAAATTGTTATCAAGGAAGTATATTACTTATTGGACTATTAGATTACCTAAATATATATTATGCATGTTATTGTATATTGTAAAGCAATGTTTTCATAATGGATTAAAGTTAGTGTCAGTGGTGGGGGTCAACTTATATAATTGTTAACATTCAGTGTAAAAGTAGATGTAAATTTACCACTTTTTCATTTGAAGGAGCCAAATGCAAAATTTTCATTATCAAAAACATTGTAAATTATACCTGAAAGTAATCCTAAAATATGCTATTTATATCTATGTATCTACTTAATCAAACTGAATTTGTTTTAAAAGTTCTAATTAAAAACAGACTTTACTAATTATTATTTGAGCGGTTTGACATAGGTTGGTGTTTGGCTTTATAATGGCCAGTTATTGTTAGTAGATATTAGTAGTTTTATAATTTTAATAAACAAATAAGTCAGAATGCCCCTTTAACAATAAATCCATTACAAAGTAGTGTTTTATTAAAGAGTATAACATAATTTATATGTGTGTGTGTATGTGTATGATTTCTTTGGCACTTAATTAAAGACATTTAATTTGTTGTATGAACCCTAGCTAGTAGGTCACGAACATGTGATTTGTCTTATGAAGCCAAACAGTGTGCAATGAGGAAAAACTGCAGTATTGACTTACTCTTTTGTAAATTACAACCGTCGAGGGATGTTAAATTTGTACAGTCAGCAGCTTGTCTTGTGCATGTGTCAAACTCACTAAGGGGCCACTTACGGGTAAAAGTACACTGCAATATATAATAGACAAAGGGAAAAGACAATTGTATGCCATGACCTTGATGCATACAATGTGATTGATAAATTGAACAATACATCATACCATAAAATATTTATTATCATTTCTTTAAAGCACAGAATAACCAATAACATATTTAAATTATATAGAAATAAATCCATCTTAAAAATATCATATCATTATAAAATATATATTTCAAACCCCATATATCTTTAAAATCATCATACATTATTATGATACATTACGACAAAGTAACATAGGCCAACAGAGGCAGTTAAGACAGAAGAGTGGTCGAAAAAGAATAAAACTTACTATATATTTCGTTCCCAGGAAAAGGGTGTTGATATCAGAGTTACCAGATTATCAGCATCTGGTTAAACCTCTACTATCTTGACATCTCATTTATTCACTCTCTTAAGTCCATCCAAAGAAAATGGAAAAACGTTTCTTGTGTGCAAGCAAGGGTATTGTTACACTTTTGACTAAGTCTGGGACAATTATTCAAAAAGGTTCATTGAATTTCAAACTCATTGAAGATCTCATCATTCTGAAAGTCAACCACAAATTGCATTAAATTCAGATACAAATGGTAGCAGCAATCAAGCACACAAGAAATGTTGATGGACTGATGAACTGGGCCTATGGCAATATGTGTAATATTTTATGTTGGCATGTAAAAAAAAAAAAATTAAATCTCTAACAACTCCTATTTGATCATGTAAAACACATCAAAAACTTTATATTATGCAATAATATTACAAAGATACAAAAATGTACATGATTCTAAAAAGACTATAAAAATATCAAATTAATCATAAGTTTTTCAACTGCATGCATAGAAAGAGTGGAATATTTCAAAATTATACTTGGGTTTAAACAAGCTTATCCACTTTATTTGTATAAAGAATATCGTAGTTTAAGATGGTAAAAATGTAAAACTAGAAGACTGTAGATTGCATATATTATATATCAATAATAGAACACATCAATGATTATGGCATACTTCAATAAATAACAATAATAATAATACTAACAAGCAAAAATGATTATCAAGGGCCAGTTCCACATAAACTCTTACAATACTTACGAAAAAATTGACGGTACAATTTATTTCAAAAAAAAAGGTCCCTTATCGTAAGTTCAAATACTAATTATATGCCAAATTTCAATATACAAGTACATAATTTGTAAGCATTAAAATATGTATTTTGCATAGTTGTTTAGGAAATTGCCCTTCTACTCATTCTTTTGGTTTATGTGTTCTTTTCTCAACCAATTGAACTTGAATCATATAGCTCCTACAGCTAACCACATATCCATTAAACAGATGTTATCAAAATGTAGTAATTTCTGATCAGAAATCTCCACAAAGTGAATGATTTTCAGAATGAACATCTAGTTTGTCTACAATTTAATAAACCATATACAGACTTTTCTTAACATTCTAACAGACAGATATATTTCAATTCTATAAATCTGCATAAATATGTACATTTGTATTAAATTGTAGACTAAGCAGGCACAAAATTTTCATTTTAAAAAGTAAGGATAGCTGAATGATGGCAAATCATTTGACTATATTCCTTTAAGGTTTATCTCATATGACCAATAAATAAGAGTCGGTAAGACAACAATCATGAAACAGTGAATAATCCAACACCGGTAGTAAATGTTTCCTGTTACTTGGACATCTAGGAAGTTAAATACATTGTTTTGTTGAAAACTGTCTGATGTGGAATGTGTTTCATATCATATTACTTCCTCATTTAGAGGCTTATTTACTGGGTTATATTTTATACAATATGTAAGAATACAACAATCAAATTCAAATTCAAGCCAGAGTTAAAACTAATCCAGCCATTGCCCGTAGTGCAGGGGTTTGTTCATTGTGTCCAAACCACACCCCCATTCGTCATACTTCCTAGGATTAATAAGACACTGTCGAAGCCTGTATTAGGTATACAATGAGGCTTGTTTTACATTTTGGTCCATATTGACTGTTTGCATCACAAAATCTTCAGAATTAAAACAAATATTTCTTTAAATCTACTTCGTCTACAATTAATTCATGCCCATAGGCCTATGTTGAAATTGAGTAGTTTATTCTATATATAGCCTAGAGTTTAAATGCATTGCGTCAGCTTGCATTTTTCTCCTATACTTTATAATATTTGATTACTGGTACTTGACAGTTAATATAGTTTTTCTAGGCTTAGTATGTGTCTCAGGTTAAGGTTTTAGTTTGTACTATTCTATTCGATATCTATGGTTCCAGTCATTTCAGAAAAAATTAATAAAAGTGGCACAAATGGAAGCTGATACAAATCAAAATGCTAGAAGACCTTGGGTTTCCTTATTTTTGAGTGTCAAATTAAGCAAACTTTTTGATTAATTGGTGTTTCAAATGAATTATCATGTATTCTTAATCATATCATTATGTTCTTATTGCAAATAATTAAGAATTTTAACCAATCATAAATGTCCAAGTATGTACAGTCTGGATAATCAAAAAAAAGAGACTTTTTTACCTTTCTTGATCGGTCACTCATTGGAATTCTACTGTTTATTCTCTTCTGACTAATTTGGCTAATTATGAATTAATTATCAGACAAACTGGTTATTAGAGTCATTAGAATACCTCTACTTTCTATTCATATAAGTATTAGCATATTCATTTTCATAAATGAAAATAAGGGAACCCATCTTTAAATCATGCTATTCAAACTAGTGTTAAAACTTAATCTGAAGATGTTAAACTGAAATGTAGTGGAGATTAATTTTGTGGGGACATTTTCATTAATGACAAATGACAGATTTAAAAAACATTGCCAAGCAATTTGAACATTGGAATTACATATAGATTCATTCATTTAAAAAAAAACTATTGTACAGCAAAACTATATTGTATGACAAAATACATAACAATTACCATTTCTTACCAAACAGGATATAAAACTAACGATTGAATATTAAATGTCAACACAGTGAGTTAAATGTGTGTTTGGAGTATACCACTTTATGAAAGATAAAATCAGTTTATTAGTTAAAATTAATTAGAGTAATATTTAATGAAGTTTTTGAGAGTATGGGCCCTGATAAATTTGACCCTTAAGAGATTCCTTGTTTTCACTGAATATAATGTCTCATTTAGGTTGTATGGTTTTCGCATATGTTGCATAAAAGCAACATGAGTTTCTATAGATTGTTACAACCGAGTCAAATTGCTGATATGAATTACACTGACAGCCTTAATCCATCATTTGAGAGATAGGGATTCATAAAGTCAGTGGAAAAATTACATGTAACTAGAGAAGGTAATTTTAAATTCAACAAACGCTCTTCTCTGGTGACTACGGTACCGGATTTTTCATTGTTTATCATAAAAACCACCAAATAATTAGAAGAAAAACCTTAATTAAAATGGTCCAGCCATCTGAGAATAAAAATATGATTTCAAATCAACTGATGCAGAACGTGTACTGTACATGTTGAGAAAACTCAACAAATTCAACATTTTTAGAAGCAGTAGGGTACTAAGCGGACAAAATGGTTTGCAAAAATTAACACAAGCCTAACAAAATTTGGTGGAAGAATTCTTTTTGATATACACTCATACAAATCAGTGACCTAAACATCCGATCTTAATCTTAGTAAAAAGATGGTATGTCCACACTACACTGCACTCCAACTAGCATAACAAATCAAAACTTCAATATATCAATATTCAGCAATATTACAGAATATAGTTCTTAAACTAAAAGCTATGTACCATATCAGCCTAAAAGGCCTACTTATTATAGTAGAATTATACTAAAAGTATGCAACATATGAAACTTTGATTTTAATGGATTTCTCTTGAAAGATAACACCTGCTTATATTTGGAGACTTTTAACTTGTACAGTGGAGGCTTCTTCATATTCACTGGAACTAGCAGTTTGGCGAGTTTCAATCTTTGTTCCAGAATTATCTCCATAAATATTCTCATCCACCTCGCTCTCAGGTCTGGCAATACCAGATTTACGTGATGGCTTGAAATCAAAAGATGAAATATGGTCATAAGTCTCATCATCAACATCAGTTGGTATGGAAGGCGCATTTGGACAAAGTTCTTCTGGCATGTCATAATCACCTTCAATGATTTCAGGATTTTTTGCTGCAATTCTAATATTCTCATAATCTTCTTCATGCAAGTTGTCTGTGTCCCTCCCAAATTGGCGCCAAGCTTCAGATCTCTCCTGATCTGCTGTTTCATACATACTGGGTTTTTCAGTGCTTTTTCTAGCACCTTGTATATTATCCGGCTCAGCATAATGATTTTCTACAGATAGTTTTGATGTTGGTATATTGTCCTGGGGCAGTGCATATGCACTAGCTGAATCTATACTAGGCATTCTTACATCATCTACCTCTTCATAGGCGTTCCCAGGATTACAATATAAATGACTTTGTGACTTGGGTCGTGAATTCATCCCTTTATTCTTCTTCATTTCTTTCTCTCGAGCTTTTTTCTCTTTCTCTTGTTTCTTTGCTTCTTCCTTTGCCCTTCTCTCCTTTTCTTTCTGCTCTTCTTTTTGTTTCTTTTCTCTTTGTTTTCTTTCCTTTTCTTTTTCCCTTTTCAAGCTCTTTGTGCCAACTTGGCTCTCTGTGCTTCCTTTAAAGACCTGTTTATTCGACTCTTCTCCTATGCTGTGTTGTTTTATCAATACCTGTTTTAAGTTTTGTTCAAAGTTTTTCTTCAAGTTGTCATTATTAACATGTATTGAATGTGAAGTTTCATCATTAACAGACTTAGAAAGATGTGATTTTTCTTCTTTGGCTTCATGAGAAGCTTTGAAAGACATTGATTTAGATAAGTGTGAAGGATTTAGTGATTTTGATTGTTCATTCTGAGAAGGCTGTGGAGATGATCGGGCAGTGTTTATGGATTCATTTGAATTGTATGATCTCATTGTTTTCGTCTGTTTATGTACTGATTCATAAATTAAGTCACCTTCAGTCGTATTAAAGGAAAATACCCCGTTTCCAGTGCTAGTGCGTCTTCCAGACTGTATTTGGAATGTGTCTGGCAGGCGACCGAAACTCTTAATATGCTCATAAGACCACTGATATAATTGTTTTTTTGTAGAATCTAGAAGAGCTATATAAGTAAGGAACACTGCCAGATAGTAGTCTGTATCCGGTTTTAATCCAATTCTTTTAGAATCATCATTTTCATTCACTTTAACTTTAAATAATTGAGCTGAAATGAACAGAAAGAAAGTACAATATAACCATCCAAATATTGATGATTCATTTTACAGTTGTAGACAACCTCTAAAGTTCTGCTTCCCAACCATTTGTATCCATATGTACTTTTGTGCTATCAGGGGAACAAAAAGATTCAGAGATCAGAGATCGACTGTTAAATTCATCATAAATCTAGGCATCAGACAAAAAATATGCATTTTAGCTCATTGGACTAGTTCCAATCACGGGTACCTATCATCATATATCACAATAGCATAAATAGTTATGGTTCTGGACAAATAACATTTTAAGTCATATCTTTGAGAAAATTTGTTGTAACTTACTGTCATCTACAGAATTGTACAAAAAATTATCCTCAACAATCAAATCTCCACCACTAACTGTATTGGCCTTGGAACACCTGTCTCTTGACTGCAAGATCTGTGCAAATGCTTGAATCCATGATTCTTGCTCTGTTTCATTTTCACATTTAAAAAAATGATTATCAGATTTAATCACTACTTCAAATGTTATTTTACTATCTCTATATTTCTCTACTTTTGATAATTTATGTAAGTCCAATATTTTTGGATGTTTAGTATCTCCTTTGGAATCATACTTGTAAAGACAAGCAGGAGATGTTGATGATCCTGCCATCAAAATACACCATTTAGAATTCCAATTATTACCACCCTAAAAGATAAAATATAAGCTTATATCAGGGCTTTTCAACCTTTATCTTTCTATTACTGCTCTGAGGATCCTAATCGATTGTATTATCCCCTTCCACCAATTAATCCTTACAATATTGTAATTTTTCTCTTAGGTTTTCCTTGCAATCTTTTTCATGTCGGAGTATATAGTCTGACTTAATGGAACAACTTTTATGCAAGACTTTAAATACCTTTAAAACCTGTGTTCTATATCAATCATAAAATTTTAATTGGTATATGATATACAATAAAAATTGGTAATAAATAATATAATCAACATTTAAACAATTTAGAAACAATATATAATATGCAATATAAATAGGGCTTCAACGATTCTAGAAGTTACAATTTGATACACATAACAATACTCATCCAACGACTTGGATATGATGACTCAATATTATGATGACAATGTAAATTGTTGACACCATGTTGTACAATAAAACTCCTATATGATTACAATGTAAATTGTTGAAACATTGTGTTACAATAAAACTTATGAGTACTATACCATAAAATGGGGTTTCGTTATTTAATGTTACTCTACCCATAATCAAGAGTAGGATTTCACTACCCGTAGCCTTACATGTATTCATACCTGTACAGTGGTGTAACCTATTTTCGTGGATATAAGGATTCAACACCGAATTTCGTCTAAGTCAAAAAAACGAAAAAATTTTTGTTATGTCTTAGATGTTTCCTCAGATATTCTACAAAATAATACAAATTGGTTTCTTTCGATTTTCTTAATGAATCCTTCACTTTGACCCATATTTCATGAGTAACCAACTCGGGAACGGCGGCAGAATGCGTCACCTATTTTCGTGTACAATGTTTGATCTATAAATAAGTCTAGATAAACACGTTGTATGGATACCGGGTGGTATAATTAAAACTTCTCTTAGTATTTATCTTTAATATCAATTCATTATAACTAGTGACAATTCATTCAAAGAACCACAATTTAAAAAAAAATAGTGACTGACAAAATAAGATACGTAGCGTGATTTATTGCTAAAAGTCACTGAAACAACATAAGAATATGGTCCACTTTGTGTTCCATAGAAATTTTCTGCTGACACGGAATCCGCTAGTTGATCACGTGACTTCATTCGTTGGATTATATTCTAGCAGACGACATTTGGAATTCCGATTACCGCTCGGGATTATAATGAAATCGGCTGATAAAAAATGGCGACGTTTGGTAATAAGTGAAATCCGCCATTTTGTATTTGTCAAAGTATACATTAATACATTTTACCTTTCTTGCAACTACTGGATTCATTCTACTAGCTGATATTGTACAGAAAACCCATGTTTATTAAAACAAACTAATGCGGAGGTCGCGCAAGGTCGCTCACGTAAATTGTTAATCAATCCACGAATAATAGGTTTCCACGAAATTAGGTTACTCGACATGTAATCTAAATGTCACTTTAGTAACCTCAAGGTCCATTAAATTATTATTAACTTTGTTTAATAAAACAATATATAACAGAATTGTCATATGGCAACCATACTAAATACTGAATATAGTTAAAGCTATTAATTTTGTTGAATGTCTATCATTATCTGATTGGCCTACAGTGTACTGAAAGTCAGAAGTAAGAGCAACTGAAGCAGACGAAAATGTCCTGATTTCCCCTGCAAAATAATT